ATATATATATATATATATATATATATATATATATATATATATATATATATGTATAATCATGCATTTTTGTATGGAGCAAATGTGAAAAGGGGTTTTCAGGCGTTAAAATGAATAAGTAACACAGTTTAAAATGTTTTCCTGTACAATAGAATAAATAAATTATTGGCTACATACACAAAAAAATATCTGTAAGTGAGCAGTTTTCTGTATTTTGTCATACTTTGTGATTCATGTTTTTTTTTTCCAGGTTATTTCTGCTTTTGAGTCGCATTATGGGATCTTGATCTTTCTTCCAACAACTTTTAACCTTGAAAAGTGTGAAAAAGTGACTTTTATTGACATGTGTAATAGTGTGCAGTGCTATATTGTCTGGGTTGGTGTTGTGTATTACGCTACAAACACCTTGTAATAAGCTGCAGCACATTTTCTGATATTTTAAAGACTTATTTCTCCAGATATTATTTATTATATGGTTTCAAACTACAAAAATGTCAATAAAAGTCACTTGGTTAAACTGTAGAGTTGAATTTTCAACATTAATTGTGGACGGAGCAGGGATCAACATCCCATAATGCAATTCACAACCGCAAATAAACACTTGTGAATCCCTAAATACAGAAGCTGTTTATTAACAGATCTTTTTACAGTGTACATTTGTATTATTATATTCAAAAGACAGCTACTAAAATGTCAACAAAGTGTAACAATAGATTCTCCCTGGCATATTTACAACAAGTATCATTTGGTGACATATTAAAAAACTCTATTTATGATCACAGTTTCACTCCCAAATACTCATTAATCTTCATCTGACATACTATATGTTTATGTGTTTCAGAATAATTTTCCAGCCAGCAGTCCTGAGCGGCTCCAGGATCTGAAATCCACTGTGGATCTTCTGACCAGCATCACTTTCTTCAGGATGAAGGTTTGTTCTTTGTTTCAATCTGAAATGATTCGTTTGATTTTAAATGATTCATTTGATTCATTTGTGCTCTGGGTATTGTTGTTTCTTTGACTTATGTTTAAAAACACTC